CAATCAGATTGCCTCCCCTTGCCTACTCTTGCTTCCCTCATTTCTGTACCCAGCTTTCAATGAGCTTCGTCTGTCCATCTTTATTCCTAGATGCAATGAATTTCAGTATTTCTAATCCTCTAAGATTCTCCTATTCCCCATCCTTCTAATTTCCTCAATGATTCCTGTGATTGCAAAGTAGTCATACTCACAAATAAATGTATACATCTATATGTGTACATAGATGCATAAAATCATGTGTATATTCACAAAGATGTTTGTCTTTGCTTTTGGCCTTCTGAATCAGGCTTGCATTGGTTAGTACTAAGATAACCACCTCCATTCATTCCTTACAAAGCACAAACTTGAATTTTTCTTTATGACTGAATAATATTCTTTCTCTCTAGAGTATAAAATGTGGCCGTTAGTACTTTTACATTAAATTATTAGCCATAACAGTAAATGCTTCCCAAATACTTGTTAAAATGAAGAAAACTTTCAAGAAATAGTTAAAACTAAATTAGGGAAAAGGAAGAACCTGAATATTTGTCATAATACCTGCTAAATAAATGCATGCTATTTTTGTATGTAAGCATATAATTACAGAGGTTGATTCTTAATAGCACATTTGTTCTTCAACAAGAGAGCCATTGTGGGTGGTGCATAGTAGGCTCCAGATGTGTTTAAGAGTACCACTAGCCATTTTCTTCATGGAGGAGAATGGATTAATAAGGTTAGAACACCAGCATAGGAGATGTGTTTGAAAAAGTTATAGAGACTGTGTGGCAAGTGCCAGTCCATAATAGGTAGGCCACAAAGATAGTTGGGATGACATTGTGTCTCAGATTTGGAGTTAGTGAATATGCAATAAGCTTTTCTGAGAATTCTGGTAGTAATCTTCCTACTGAACATTTCCTTAACATATTGCTGTATATGATATGTTTTTACTCTATGTTTTTATATCACCAAACAATGGAGCTTGTGTTCACTTTGAGGATTCCTAATGCAAGGAGAATTCAGAAATCTGGAGTGGTGGCTCCAAGTTTAAGTAATGAATAAAGAAATTGAAAAAAGAAGCTAAAGCAATTGAAAGAATTTATACATCTACAAAACATAATACTGAGAATGAAAACAGAAAACTGAAATAAGATAATATAGGTGAACATTCTAATGAAGGACTTAAAATGTAGAAGTTGTTGGAGTACACCTACTGTGTGTATTCCAACTCTGAATGTTTTTCTTTTCTTGCTAATACCTATGCTCAATTATATATGATGAGTGAATTAAAAAAAAAAACCTTGGGACCCATTGATAATGAACTAAAGATTCATGTGGATCACTACAGGAGTTTTAAATATCTACTGGGGGGCATACTGCATAAAAATTATATGAGTTGTTTATGACAATGGATTTTCCAATATCTGGGCTACAAAGCAGTAAAACTATTGTACCGATCAAAGGCGTAGGAAGATTGCTCTCCATCACAAAAGTAGGACAGATTCCCATATGTCAAAGATGGAGTAACTGAAGTTCTGCCCAAGGTTAAAAAGACAAGATAATCATGCCAATTCCATCCATATTAGGTATGAAATATTCTGATTAGTGACAACATATTGGATATTTGCTTTCCTTCAGATATTTTTTAAAAACAATACCAGAGTTAGAATTTCATGTTTCCTAAATCTTCTGTCCTTAGTCTGTACTTCACAACTTGGATTTTCAAAACCAGAACAGCACATTTATCTGACCAAATCTACAAATAACTAAAAATTTAAAAAGCAAACTATTTGGTTTACAGATATAAACTGCATCTTCTGCATTGTTTAGTTTCATCATAAAAATTACTTTAATTTGGAATCCAAACCATCCAATCTTCTTAAAAGAAGTTTACTGTCTACTACAAAGTAATAACATGTTTTTAGAGACTTTTAAGTGCATATCTTGGACTTATTTCTAACTTAAATGTATGCTTTAGAAAACACCAATCATTGATCATGAAAGGCTGGTTCAATTGTATTACAATAGAGTCAAAATTAATGCTCTTATGTCTCTATTTCTTTATGTAACTGTTTCCTATGCTATGCAAAAGAAACAACATAAAGTTTTTAAGATTTGAGGAAAAGTCATTGAAATACAGAAGATACATGTCTATTTTCCCCAAAGTGACATTTCCATTGTATGTTTAATGAAAATACATTTGAGAAATGTTAAGCACATAGTCAGATAAAAACATAGGAATAAATGCAGATGTAATCAAGAGTTAGAAGAAACAGCTATACTAAGAAATATAAGCATGGGAGTGTATGAGTTGGGAGGAAAATGGAAGAAAATGAATCATAGTCATAACTGAAGTTATTTTATACATCAGATGATTAATGAGTTCTAAGTCTATACTATGTTACCATTATACTAAAGTCATGCATGTTCTTTTTGGTAATTTTTTTAACTCATCTGAAAGTGGATTATCTTATTAGCATAAGTAACCTCAAATATCATTAAATTGTTCTTTTTGCAACTTACTGCAAGAAATATCTGTATAATGCATGAGTAAAACTGGCTCTTTAATCATTCTAAAATTTGAGTTCTTTGAAAAGAAAAAAATAACACCAGTATTTATAGTTCTGTGTTCCTAGCACATCAAAAATCTATTCTAAGAAAAAGAAAGGTCACGTTATTACATGAAGAGGGGAAAAATAATCCCCCATTATTGAGGAAGATATTACCAAGGTCTTAAGAGGAATCTTTTATAAAATGCTTTACTAAAATTAAATCCTTTGAGGACAAAAATAGTTTAATACTGACTTAAATAACAAGACTCATCTGTCCATTTATTAATTATTTGTATATTTTGTATATGTGCTCCTTTTAGGAGAACTAATTAACAATAGAGTTATCTTCTTCTGTTTAATTATACCATTCAGCAAACTCTATGAAAATATGCATATGTCAGGGATTGGATAAAGCATGAGAGACAGGACTTCCTCAACTTAAAGCATACTTTTCTATAAACCCTGCCTTTCTAAAAATGCTAAAACAATGGGTAGGTTTTTTTTTAAAAGCAAATCACATGTATTCTATGAGTAATAGATACCAATTAATAATAAGGTTTAATTCATGCACCAAACATTCTCCAATAAAGTTAGTAGATACATATAGTAGTGCACAGTCAGAAAAAAAAGAATAATCATGTCATATCTAGCCAGGTACAGGATATGTTGGCTAAATATATGGTACCCATCAAAAGCAAGCTACATCCTCTGATGGTTAACTTCATTTCCCTAACATTCCATGCATTGGATTAGGAAACAAATATTACAGATGAGTAGAAAAATTCCCCCAAAATATTAATTTTTGTCCTCAGCTTACAATTTTGATTGGCAATCTAGCCTAGAGCCACAAAATAATTACTTTTAAAATTAATTTTTAAGAGCTACTCATTCCCTTTTTGTTATGGTCTCAATGAAACAAAGTAGAAATACAGAAACCCAATTGTGAAGGGCACCTTAATATGGGAGAAGGTATAATCTTTAAAGAAATGTAGGTTGCCTAAATCTTGCAAGTCAATATGATTTAATTTTACTATGCCTTTAAATTTTATTTCATTAATACATTGGTTTAAGGAAGACACCTCATCTATTTACATTCCTTGCAATATGTATATGTGTGTGTGTCTATATATATATATATATATATATATATATATATATATCAAAGGTGACAGAATCGGTGCAATTTTTACAAAGGGGTCTTGGACTAACAGACATAAATTTATCTATCTATAAATTTAAATTAACTTTTCTAAAACAGAAGGCTCTTAAAGATAAGAGTAATTAATTGTACTATTTCAGAAGTAGAAACTTAGTTTCCTTTTCTTTTTCTAGTGCAAAGATAAAAGTCAATATATCAAAAGCTCACTGGTTTGCAGGCTATAAACCTGATGATGCCATAAAATAAATTAGAACCAAACTAAAAACAGTTTCTTGTACCAAAAAAATACATTAAAAAGCAACTACTTCAAAATAAACAACAACAAAGTCACCTACCACCTCAACAGAAACTAAACAACAATCTGGCTTTTAAAGACTCTTTTACTACCCCATTATCTAGAATGAGCTGTGTAATTGGCTAAATTGTAATTTTGAAGTCTCTCGTTTTTCTGCAAACAGCAAGTACAATGAAAAATTAGCACACAGGGCATGTATGTACCTTCAGCTGCCCTCTCTCCATTCTTGTCACACTTGTGGTATGTGTTTGGAACAAAATTAAGATGTTCCATTTCCTATACTTCTAAATCACCGCTGCCAATACGGTATACACCTCCAAGTCCCATCTTACCACGTATGTGCCACAGTGAAGCGACGACGCTGACGAATGCTTCTATTCACCAGCAACTTTCTGAAAAAGCATGGTGAGTTCCTTGGCGAACTGCGTGGAGAAATTTTGGGAGATGTAGGTCGGTTTCCCGGGATTCTCGGAAGCTCAAGTTCTAAGTGCATTTGCTCCTTGAAAGTCTTGATGCAAACCTCAGATTCAGAAGCAAGAAGTTCCTTTGAAGAATTTTTTGCTGTCATGTCTTGTATGGAGTGCTAGCTTTCACCATTCAAAACAAAAACCACACACATAACAGCTAGTGCGGCTGGTTAAAAAGCTGATCAATCTGCAAACTCCAGTTTCATTGGGGAAGCTCGGGGCTTCAATATTGGAGCTGGCAGAGCAAAGGCAGCATACTGAAAGAATAGCAAGTCAGGCTGTCACAAGGAGCTTTATCAGGCTGGCTTTGCCTCTGAAAACACGCCAAAGTGATTCCTATGTCAGTAGCCTCCTTGTGGATGAGGTTTGTCTGCAAGCTACACACTGACACTCACTGAATTCATTCAGCTGAATATATCAACTCATGAATATTCATGAGGGCTCCTGATAAATTCTTTACATGTATATATTTTCAAAAATCCTATTGAACAAGCTGCATTCACTAATAGATGGTAAGTAAAACCTACTTACCTAGTCACTAGTTTTGTTTGCACAAAGAGCAGAACCGGAATCCATCCAGCATGTGCAATGTATAAAGTCTTCATTCAGAATTATCTAGTTCTGTAATGCAAATGATAACTCCACCTACCAAATGCTATTGGCCCAGGATTATTTAAACCACTGTACTCTGTTTCTCTTTTCTAAACACTCTCCACGGCTCATATTTTCACTGAATTTGTGAGGCTACTGTCTTCAAGACAGTTAAAGCTGATTAAATCAGAGATTGTCAGAAAGCCTAGCTAAAACAGTCTTCCAAATTCCATTTCTGAATCTAAAAGCTGATTTGTTGAACGTTTCCTTTTTTTTAATCCTCCTTTCTCCAGAAGATCCAAAAAAGCATCAATATAAGAAAATGTCAGTGAGCAGGAAAATATTGAATTTGGTTGATTCCCCCAAGGAATTGAAAATCTAATTTTTTATTTCAACAAATACTACCCTCATTCTTCTGTTTAGGCTCTGTTGCTGAGTTTCTCTCAGCAGCTACTTGATGTTAGAAGCAAAGCATTTTGAGAACAAAAATCATCCCCAGATAACTAAGAAAAAATGAGTGTTCCCACTTAAAATCTAGTCAAAGGTTAAGTACCAAATGCATGTGTGTGTATGTGTGTGTGTGTGTGTGTGTGTGTGTGTGTGTGTGTGCAGTAGGTACAGACAAGCATGTTTTATGCTGTATGATTGTGTGTGGATATATGTACTTCCTAGGGTATCAGTTTTATTCACAAGAATTCCAAGTGAGACATATGGGTAGGAAAGTCTCAGTCCAAAAGTAAGATCAGTATAACCTGATATTTTTATTTAGCATAATAATACAACTTACAGTTTTTAAAAGGAAGATGAAAGTAGAAGGAATATCATAGTGTTTGAAGTTTCTGGATGCAGTGAAAATTCTCTATCAGTAAATGATTGTCAACCAGATCTCAAACTAATTTGATAAAGCAGAAACAGGTCTAGTTGGAATAATGAAAGAAAAGGAACGATTGATAGCAGGATGTCAGTGAACAGGGAAGAGATTCATTTTCTCCTAATGTGTGAGGTCTTCCAGCCTTAGAAAATCATTCATACATGTCATACATTCCAGCTAAAATGTGCTAAATAGCTAAAGGCTAAATAAGAGCAGACTATTGCCTACATGTGGGAACAAGTAGATCCTATAGCAGCCCTTTGGGAACTGATTCAAGCATACTAGGAGGCATTTAGATTACTGATTTACAAATACTACATAAATATTGATAAGAACTCTTATCAATATTTAAATGACATACATTAGGAACAAAAGCACAATCATGGAATTTTAGATTTACATAAAGCCCTAGTAGAGATTTGTTTAGCAGCTTATTCCAAAGATCAGGAAATCCAGCTAGAAAACTGAAATGGGTAGTAAAAGTCATATTGGCAATGGATGTTATCCTTAACTTAAAGCCTATTTCCTGATTCCCAAAGGAGTGTCCCTTTAATTCAATTACAAACACACACTTCTGTCCAATTAGGCCCTTGTACATGTGTTTTAATACCTAAAGACATTTTGATTACCCTATTTGAAGGGACAGATTGTTAGTAATACTGTAGGAGAAAATAAGGTTAATGATTTCTATTATTTGCTGTATTATGAAATGAAATCTGAGACTTTCCACACTAATAATATGAAATTATGCTCTTACTTCTACAGTGATTCAATGTGCCTTCTCAGCAAAAAATAAAATAGCCATTGGAAGAAAGGTATTTATCACACCTAATTTTCAAAGCTAACAAAATACAATAAGCACTTTAGAAATCTCTTCCAAAAAATACTATGACAAACTTCATAACTCAGATTTAGCTGTATGTAAACTGAGGTTTGAATCAGGAAATACTGATCTAAATTTAACTAAAGCAGCACAATAATGCAATTAAAATTATTTTCTGAAGCAGCACAATAATGCAATTAAAATTATTTTCTGACTCTTCATTGCCAATTCAATGGCTTTTATATGGCATTCCTCATTACTGTTTTTGCTTTACTTATTATCTCAGTGTCTCAGCTAAAGAAGCTTTGAAAAGTTCTCACAAATATGTAAAGCCTATTAATTCCATCTACATTAGATAAAGTTCAGGAATGCCAGAGAGAGTTGATTAAAATATGAAATTCAAAAGTAAAGGAAATGCTTTGAAGGCCCAAGTTCCTTATCACCGAGATAACAGGAGCATGCATGTTTAGAGAAAAATCCAAAAATTCTGATTTTGTTTGTTTGGGTTTTTTTAGCATTAACTATCCTTCACACACCAAAAAAAGATACTAGGCCAAATGTTGAAATCAAAGGTAAATCTGGAACTGAGTCAGGTGGTAGAGAACTTGAATTTGAGGCCCTGTGTTGTAGTTCAAAGAAAAAAATGAATCTGGAAGACAGATAACAAACAATGCTAAGAAAAAGTGCACAAAAGCTAGTGAATGAAAATAGCCTGATATGTTTCAGCAAAGTATAGTATCTTATGGGAGAGAAAATAAGAATTTATGTGTACTATGTGTTAGTTAGCTTTCAATCCCAGTGACAAAATGCCTTCTATAACCAACTTAAAAGGAGGAAGGGACTATTGTGACTCACAGTATAGAGGTTGTACTTATTGTCTTTGGGCCTGTGGCAAGCCAGTGTCTTATGGTGAACCCCCACCCCCCAAAAAAACCAACAACAAAAAAAAAATGAGTGAAGAGCTCTTTTAACCTCATAGGCCAAAAAGCAAAAAGCAAAGAGGGTCTCAAGACACTGTGCAATGACCTAACTTGCTTCCATTAGGCTATACCTCCCAAAGGTTTCACCAGGTCCCAATAAAATCAAAGGCTGGTAAGCTAATCTGATGGAGGCCATTTAAGACTCAAAATATAATATCCTGTTTAGTAACTAAGAAGGAGCTATTGAATAAAATGAAAAATGCCTGTCCAAATATAATGTTTAGCCCATGGCACTTCAGAAGGAATAGTGGGTACTTCTCAATTTATCAGTGCACCAATATTTCCTTTGAGAATTACTTGAGAATTCCAACTAAATGTTTTCTTTATCAAATAATGAAACTCCTAGTATCTACAATCTGCCAAAAACATAATAATAAAGAATAAAATTATATAGTAACTATAGTCAAACTATGTATTATTTATAAATACTATGAAAAACTAAACATATTTTAGTGTTTGCTAAATTGAAAAGGGAAGCCAATTAATTACAACCAAAATTATAAATTTACAACTGCAGTGATATTGCTTTAAATGTTTTTAAAAGTCAATAGCCTACTAATAAAATTTTAGATGAAAATTATTATTCTTTATCTATTTAATGTTGTTAGAACTCTAAAAGTTGTCATGGAGTACATTTTCTCATAGAGACAAGTTTTGTAATTCACTGCTTTAAAACCAGTCTTTTTTATTCTTTTTTATTGTGTGTGTGTGTGTGTGTGTGTGTGTGTGCGCGCGCGCGCGCCCATCCTAGAGCTTGAACTCAGATGTGGGCACTGTGCTTGAGCTTTTGTTGTTGTTGTTGTTTGTGATCTTAAGATCTCAGCCTCTTGAGAAGCTAGGATTACAAGTGTGAGCCATCAGCACCTTGCAAAACAAAAGTATTTTAAAGACAATAAACTAACTGTGGTGTGTGTACAGCAACCTTGTATCTCCCGTAATACTAAACTCAAATAAAAATGTTCAAATTTTCTGTTAAAACAAAACAAAAGCAACTGGATATTTGCAAAGAATTACTTCATACTTTTGGAGGTTTTTTTACACCTATTTTTCAATTTTTAAATTACATTTAAGTAGTTGTACAAAGGAGTTGTAATTTAACAAAGTGGTTGATGACTATAACATATCATGATCAGTGTCACCCCTTTCAACATTCTCAAAGGTTTTTTTTAAAGACTCCTCCTTAAGAATAATAATGTAATTGTTAAATTATTAAATATGTCTTCTTTTCATTTCTTAGGTCTTTTCTGCTAAGACAATATGCTTTCTGAGCATTGCTGTTATTGCGATTCAATGAAAGACACATAAATTCACAGGTAGACAATGAGAACACAAAAGCAAGCTACAAACATACATAGCCTCATCTAACCATGTAAAACAATAGACACAAAGTTACATGCAACTGTATCACCACAAATTGTAACTTCTCCAATGTTCCATTGTAGTTTAAAGAAATACAGCCAGGGGCTGGGAATGTGGCTTAGTGGTAGAGCGCTTATTTAGCATGCATGAAGCCCTAGGTTCAATTCCTCAGTACCACATAAACAGAAAAGGCCAGAAGTGGCACTGTGGCCTTGAGCAAAAGAAGCTCAGGGACAGTGCCCAGGCCCTGAGTTCAAGCCCCAGGACTGTAAACGAAGAAAAAGAAAAAAGAAATGTAGCCAGAAAATTTTTCTAAAATGATTTTTAGAAAAGGAATATAAGCTGAATAAAAATAGTTCTCTATCAATTTTGAAAAAAAACCACTAATTAACATCTCATTTGCCTCTACTTTTTTATTAGCATCAATTAGATTCATTTTGACATGTAACATAAGCCCTTAACTAATAACTCTTAAGAATAAAAAGTTTGCCAGACTCCAGTGGCTCACACATGTAATCCTAGCTGCTCAGAAGGCTGAGATCTGGATTCAAAGCTATCCCATGAAGGAAAGACCTAGAGACTCTTATCCCCAATTAACCACCAACAAAGGTGGAAGTGGAGGTATGACTCACATGATAGAGCTCTAGTCTTAAGCAAAAAGCTTAGGGACAACACCCATGCCCTG